TATTACATCATATGGTCAATTAGTGAGATTTTTTAGATTTGTAACTCCCATTGAATTATTTGGGAGTTACATAAATGTCAAATTACCTAATAACCTTTGTATTTAATATATGAGTTTTATTTGAAATAAAAAAGATATAAAATATGATTGGTTGATCTTGGTTAGCATAGTTAACACAAATTTCTTGGTTAGTATTTTGAACCAAACTTTTTATATATATATATATATGCATGTATATTTAAATATGTATGGATGTATATATATATATGTATGTATATATATATATATATATATGTATAGATATATATGTGTATGTATGTATATAAATATATTAAAATCAAATTATTGAAGTGGATGGTAGGTAACTAGAAAGTCTAGAAGTTAGCGTTCAGAAGCTCACATGCCAACAGTGGTGCATTTCTTTCCAGATATATTGATTGCCAGGCACTATATTTGAGGCGCATTTGTTTATGTTATCAATCAAACCACTTGACATTGTTTTCAAAAAATTTGAACTATTCTTTATTCCGTTAATTAACGAGAAATTTGAACAAGTCAAATATGAAGCTCATAGACTGAACCAAATCTGAATATTATAAAACCATACTTAAACTACAAGTTAATTGTTTTAATTCACATCTTTGAGTATTTTTATTTAAATATATAATATTTATATACGATAAATAGAACAAATAAACTCACACACACTCCTCACCTTTAGTGAGGTTTGAATCCTTAACCTTCTAGGAGACCAATGACTCGCATACCACTAGGCCAAAAGCCCTCTGGTATTTTTGAGTACTTTGCAGTATACTAAAAATTATAATATTCACCAAACATAATGTGTTCTTTATATTTTTACGCACTCCGTTTTATTACTTGTCATATATTATTTACTTCCTTTTAAATCTACAGAACGAAAGGTATAGATGAACAACCACAACATCTCGCTTAAAATGGAAATGGAATATACATAAACAAAGAAAGCCTAAGTTGTAGGGAATCGTTGCAAACGAAAAAAATGGGAAGATAACAAGAAGGCATAGATTAACTATAACCGGTGATATGTCAAAAGAAACAGTAAAACACAAACATGAAATTTGCATGTTATTATTTAAACGTCCATGTCTCGTCATCATATAATGTACATTTGTAATGACATATTAGAATTACCCAAGCCACGTCAACGTTTTGTTGATCATTAGGTCATAGATCTGTAACACTACTAAATTCGAGGCTTTTACTAGAGGAAAAATCCGTCGAAAAAAACGATTTCTACGCATTCCCAGCGGATTTCCCAGCCGGAGAAAACTTCTCCAGAAAACATGTTCTTTGACGGAACTAACTGAATTAATAAACTTAATCATTTAAGTAGATCACCGATGGATTAATGGCGGACAATCTGTCGGTGAATATTTAATCTATTAAATAATAATTTAAATCATTGGTAGGTTATCCGCCACAAACCTGCCAATGAACTTTTTTAAGATTATTATTATTAATAAAACACAATAGAATTCATTAAAGTCCAATAAAACACTATAAATGGAGGACTATCAGCTACAGAAAAATATGTTGCTAATTCGTCGCTATTATCGACTAAGAAACAGTATAGACATGAAGAACAAACCGAAGAGAAGAGACATGGTGATGAGGAATAAAAAAATGTTTTTCGGTTTTCCATTTTTTGAGGGTTTTCATCTAACCTCCATCTATAAATCATAATAAATACAAACTGAAAACCACAAGAATGGTGCTTGATTGGTTTGAGTTTGGCTCCAAAGGTCAAAAGTAACAGGAGGTCCCAGATTCAAATCGAAGGAGAAATAAAAATCCCCACTACAACAAAATTGGGTTTATAGGACGCCCCCAATCTCGAAGTGTCCCAATAGACCGCTTTATAGGACTTAATTTATATGAGCAAAATATAAAGCGTCATATCTAAAAGTGTTGTAATAAGTTTATATGACGTTTTTGGGCGTTTTAACAATTCTTTGAGGACATTTTAATACAAAGTGTAATATTAGCAACTTTATAGGACACTTTTGAAAAATTGTCCTATAAAATCAATTTCTTATAGGACACTTGTTTTTACAGGACAATCTTTCAAATAGTGTCCTATAAAGTTGAAAATGAGACGCTTTATATTAAAAGTGTCGTAAAAAACTTATTACGACACCAAAAAAGGTCATATAAACTTAATACAACATCTAGATAGGACACTTTACTTTTTTGGTCTTATAAACTAAGTCCTATAAAGAGGCCTATTAGGACACTTAGAATTTGGGAGTGTCCTATAAACCCGATTTTATTGTAGTGCCCCTTGTGGCCACGGAGGTTCAAATGCGATGACTCCAGGCTATCTGCAAAGCAGGGTGAAATTAGTCGGCTCGCATAGCAGGATGGATATCCAGGTTAATCAAAAAAATAAAAAAATAAATACAAACCGAAATCATTGTTCGTTTATCATTCAGTCTCATAAATTGATTAATAAGATCTGTTCAACTATAGTGATTGATGATGATTCACACGAATGGGAATACCCCTTTTCTATGTATCTATTAATTTGAAAGATTTCTATAACCTAAATTACACATTTTGGCTGTGGCCTGCATACATCTTAGAAAAATGGTGAAGAAATGGAAGGCTCATTGTTGGTCTGAATATTTCATAAAGCATGCAACAGAGCTGCAAGCTTGAAAAATTCATCTTCTTGGCATGAAATGGTTAAGCCGCCCATTGGATGATCGAAACCAAATTCTTCTTCCGATTGACGCAGCAAGTTTTGGAATAGCGGTTGTTCCAAATATGATACTGGTACCACAAACCGCCTCTTCTGGTTTTCACCAACGTATACGGCTAGATGGCCTTTCGGTACATCCCTTTGATAATTTCTGTTGCGATAGGCGTTCAGCCTGCTAAAACTTTTTACTTTTGAAATCAGTGAAGACGACAACGGCATAAGACCCATGTCGTGGAGAGAAAAAAGGATGTATAAGTTGTTGAAGGAAGATGAAATCAAACTAGCTCTCTATAGATGGGATAAGATGTAACTGAAGAGTTTTAGTCTGAAGGGGGTTGAGACTTGTATTTATAGCTTGTTTAACCACTTGTCTGAATGGGTGGAACCTCACATGGCTTTTCTAATCAGCATCTTTTCCAAGAATGTACTATATTAATTTCAAACATATTTAAATAGAAATAAATCCAAATAGACGCGTATAATTCGGATAAGCCATTATTTGAGAATTATAGGTAAGGTATCTTTACAGTGACACCTCCAATCGAAAGAGGATTGATTATTGGTTCACATGTACGTCCTCCGTCATGATAGAAAGGATTCCCACGTATTTTTCTTTTTGTTTATTGATAACAGTACTTTGTTTTTTTACATTTATAAAATACAATTAAGACACTAATAAAACCACTATAATGGCGAAACACTATTTTTCTTGTTCTACATTTCGATTCCAGAGAAAATCGTAAGTTTTATGATAATCGAAAGTGGATTGCGTTTTGTAACCAAGACGGAACTGTATCACGCGACGCGTCTAGTGTGAAAAGTGTTAAGTTAAATAAGTAATTACTTTTAAGATGAAATATACTATATGAATATCAAAAAATTGCAGTGAATGCTAGCTAGAAACTTGAGAAGTTAGCATTCAGAAGTAGGGGTGTATGCGGGTTGGGTTGGGCGGTTTACAACATTTTTACAACGTCCCGAACTCAATTATGGCGGTTTGGACAAATCTCAACCCAATCCATTCAAAAGTATAACCCAACCCAACCCTTGCGGGTTGAGGCAGGTTGGGTTGGGTTGGCGGATTAGTAGTTACATAAATTTGACGAATGAAATAATTCATAAAACTTAAGTTTATAGACCATACTATAAAGCGTCTTATCTAAAATGGTTACCATAGGTTTACATGACGTTTTTTGGACGCTTCAACAAGTGTTTTAGAATAATCTTTAAATAAAATGTCGTATTAGTTATTTTATATAAATATTTTGAGAAGTGTCCCTAAAACTCATCTATTTATAGGACACCTATGTTCATATACATTTTTCAAGTCGTGTCGTATAAAATAACTAATATGATACTTTATTTTAAAAGCGTCATGGAATTTGTTAGGACGTCCAAAATCATCCTATAAACATATTGTAACTCTTTTATATAAGACATTTTTCTTGTTTCGTCCTATAAAAAATCATCTTAGGACGCTTAGACATTTTAGGCATCCTATAAGATCTAATGTTGTTGTAGCGAAATGCTATAACTAAATGTTTTATTTCCACTAAAGTACAACATCAAATGACGGGGTATTTAGATTGATGGATTCGTCAATAGAATATCTATTAGTATCATTCATATTATCCGACATATCAATTTATTGTTGCTGTAAAGAAGATTTCAATAATTTTCTCTTATTAATTAGATTATTTGTCATCGTTCATTGATCGTGAATCTCTTTTGGTAACCTATACTTTTAGCTAAAATGAAATACAAACATAATATCAATAAAAATTATACATTATAAATATATATATATATATATATATACATAATAAACACACACACACACACACACATATATATATATATATATATATATATATATATATATAATTTTATAAAAATTATATATTAGCGGCGTTTTGGTGGGTTGGGAGGGGTTGAGCTAGGCCCAATCCAATTTCAACTCTCCTAATTGGCAGGTTAACGGTTTGGTGGGTGGGCGGTTTGATGGTTAATTAGGCGGGTTGGGTTTAATTAGATTGTTAGAGGGGTTGGGTCGGACGGTTTTACGGGTTAACGGTTTTTTGTGCACCCCTATTCAGGAGCTCACATGCCAACATAATTTGAAGTTGTGTGGCATTTCTTTCCAGATATATTGCCAGAGTATATTTGGGGTGCATTTTATTAAGTTGTGAATCAACCACTTGACTAGGTTGTAGAGGATCCAAGAAAACTGAACCATTCTTTATTCCATTAATATTGTGTACAAAATTAGAGAATTTTGAACAAGTCAAGATATGAAACTAATAGAATACATGAATCAAAGTTCATTATAACACCCTACTCAAAATAGAAGTTAAGTTCTTTTCTTGGTAGGTGATAAAAAAAATTAATAGAAAAACATGCTTGGCCAGTAGTTAGGGATATATGAGTTTGAATCCGACATCTATGTATTATAAAATGCGTTACGGGGGATGTTTAGCCAAACAACACTAATTTCACATGTTTGAATGTTTTCAAGGGGCCTGCTAAAAAATTATTCTAGCACTTCGGTTGTAACACTTTTGAGCAAGTCATATAAGATGTCCCAACCATGGCACAATGTTAATCAAGATTTGGCACGATGATTTTACACACAAGTTGCCAATTAGCTAACTTTTGCCTTGGTTGATTTCACAAGTTACGCCTAAGTAGTGTCCAATCATTAGTAAACTAACTTGAGTATGTGAATGAATTTATGATACACCATTAAATGACACTATAACAGGAACTAGTTCTTGTAGTAGACATCATACCTACATGTAAGGTGAAATGTCTGTTGAAGACTGATTCAAATTAGCTGCTGACTTGGTCCATAATAAGAGTTGTTTAGCTTCTAAAGTTTAGGTAAAATATGTTTTCTTTTTTATGCAATTAGTCAGGGTTTATCTTCTTTCCTGTATGCTATTTATAGCTGAGTTCCTTATGAATAAGATCATTGGTTTTTCCCCTCGTATATCTTGCTTTGCTATTTTCCCAACATTGTGGTATCAGAGCCACGTTATAGTCTCAACTTCAGTGTTCAAACTCACACAGCAAGATGACAACCAACAGCTCTACAGTCAGCATTACACAACCGTAAATTCCAGTATTCAAAGGGGACTCGTATGAATTATGGAGCGTCAAAATGAAGACTCTCGCAAGAGGTTGGATCTTGTGGAACAAGAAATTGGCAAAGCAAGTCAAGACGATGCAGGAAGATAGGAGACCCAGAAGAAAGATGCAAAATCACTATTTTTCGTCCAACAAGCCATAGACGAAAGCATTTTCTCGAGAATTGCAGCAACAACCTCAGCAAATGAGGCATGGAACATTCTCAAAACGGAATACCAGGGATCGACCATGGTGATCACGGTGAAGTTGCAATCCCTCTGACGAGACTTCGAAACAGCTTCCATGAAGAATCAAGAAACAATACAAGAGTACCTAGCATGAACTTCATCTACTGTATGCCAAATAAGAGCATATGGTGACAAGATTACTGATGAAACAGTCATGGGAAAAATATTGAGGAGCCTCCTTCCTAAATTTGACCACGTAGTTATTGCCCATGGAAGAGTCTAAGGACCTCTCTACCTACACAGTCGACGAGCTTATGGGTCATTACAAACACATGAAGTCATAATCAACAAGAGTATTACAAGAGAGGAAGATCAAGCGTTCACCATTCAATAAGACAACTCAAGGTTCTCACCCAACAAAGGCAAAGGTAGGGGCTCTTCAAGAGGAAGGAGCCATGGCAGAATGAGCGCCTCATGGTGCACACACTGCAACAAATACGGACACACAATCGACGTATGTTGGAGCAAACAAAAAGAGGCACAATATGCTGAAGGAGAAGAGAAAGATTACTTGTTTATGGCCATTAAAAATTCACATGATACACCAAAAGATATTTGGTATCTCGACAACGCCTGTTCGATGCATTTAACATGCGTTAGGTCAAAACTCAGACATTTTGATGCAGTACACAAATCCCTGATTCAACTTGGTGACAATTGGTATGTTCGGGTTGAAGGGAAAGGCGAGGTAGCCATTGACATCAATGGAAAGGAAAAGTTAATTAGAGCATTCCATTACACTCCTGTTTGGCTCATTACTTAATAAGTGTAGGTCAACTTCTAGATTCAGGTCTTGATATTCTTTTCAAAAAGCATAGGTGCACTGTATAGAGGCAAGATGGAGAAGTAATCTTAGAAGCCAAAATGACTCCGAATAGAATGTTTTTTTGAAGTATATAATATTTATATACGGCAAATGCAACAAATAAACTCACACACCCTCCTCACCTATGGTGAGGTTTGAACCCCTGACCTCCAAATAGAATGTTCCCGGTGAAGTTTTCCAGTAATGAGCCATATGGACTCATGAGCAGTAGTAGCAATGACTCAGCAATATGGCATCTAAGGTATGGTCATCTTAATATTGAAGGTCTCCAGTTGCTAGCAAGCAAAAACATGGTTAACGGTCTGCCAACAATCAAAGAACTTAACCATGTGTGCGAAGGTTGTGCTCTAAGCAAGCAAACTAGGAAGTCGTTTCCCATTGGGCATTCTAGAAGAGAAGAAAAGAAGTTGGAACTTGTTCATGCAGACATTTGTGGTCAAATGAAAACTCAATCTCACTCTAGTAGTAAGTACTTTCTACTATTTATCGATGATCTAACAAGAACGAGTTGGGTGTACTTTCTCATCCATAAATCCGAGGCTTTTGATTGTTTCAAGAAGTTTAAAGCACTCATTGAGAAGCAAAGTGGTGAAAGTTTGAAAGCCCTTAGGACGGATAGAGGATGAGAGCTTTGCTCTATGGAATTCAATGAGTTCTTTAATAACCACTAACTAAACAAGATAACAAAAAAAAAAAACTTTGAAACAATTTCATCAGCAACTATTTCAAAAGACGACTGTATTTTCAGTACATGAATCTGTTTCACTATTATGATAATGTTTTCTGTTCATGAATCTGTATTTTAGTTGTGAATCATTTTTTAGTATATGAATCTGATTCAATGGATCAAACAATAAACGATTTTAAATTTCATTTTCAAAAATCCGTATAATCCTTAAAACAAATAAAGCATATTTAAATTTTAAAAAACTAAATTAAAAAAACTAAATTAAAAAAACATTTAACTCTTACCATATTAAACATTTCCTTTATTACGTTTCCTTGATTAACAAAAGTTAATAACTTCCATTATTAATCAAAAACATTGTAAATGACAATTAATTAAACCCTTAATGATTAAATTTAATTTAAAAAAAAAAGAATTTTACTACTGGTCAAAATCGGTTTGCACGGTTTTTAAGAATTGAACGGTTTTCAACGTAACCCACCTATATATATATATATATATATATATATATATATATATATATGATTGTTTGGTAGTGGCTTAATGATATAGAAAATGGTTTATTCAGTAAGCTTCTACGGAGCTTTATACAGAAAATCAAGTTCTTTTTTCCAAATCTGCCCATCCGAATTAAAAACATGCTCCTTCCATCTATGAGAAAACCCTCTCAATCCATAGAGACAAATTAATCCACATAATCATTTTTATTCATATCGGACTTGATAAAAAAAACCATCCAAACAACTCGGAACTTAAAAGATAGACTTTTCTACTAATATTTCCCACTGACGGTGATTCGGATGATAAAAACCGTCGGTAGTTATCGACAGTTAAACGACGTTTCCTGACGGTACCTTTAATATTTTTTATATTTTATTTATTTTAATAAGTCATGGTAAAACCCCCACTTCCACTTGACGTCTATCGTAATGATAAACGACTCGTCTCGCCGTGACCTTTTCTTGAATTCTCAAAAAATGCATGCATCACTATTAGTGATTCCAATTACTAAATTCTTTGTTCTTTTTCGTCAGAAAAATTTATCAATTACTTACGCTTCCATTTAATTTTTATTTATTTTTAATAAGTTGTTGGAAAATCGTCGGAAAATTTAATCAATTACTGACCATTTTCCGGTGGTTCCTTTTAATTTTTATATATTTTTAATAAGTCGACGGAAAACCGTCGGAGAACTTTATCATTTACCGACGGTTTGCCTATGATTCCTTTTAATTTTTATTTATTTTAAATAATTCGCTGGAAAACCGTTGGAATATTTTATCAATTACCGACGGTTTTTTGACGGTTCCTTTTAATCTTTCAATTTTTATTTATTTTAAATAAGTCGTCAGAAATTTTTATCAATTATTGACAGTTTTCCAACGATTCCTGTCAATTTTTAATATTCATTTTCTTACAAGTCGTCGGAAAACCGTTGGTAATGACAACCTTCGGAAAGCCGTCGGCAATGAAAACCATCGGAAAGCCGTCGGTTACTAGAACCATTGGTTTTAAGCAGTCGGTAATGAGAACCATCGGAAAGCCATCAGTAATGAGGATCATTGGAAAGCCGTCGGTATATGAACCGTCGGAAAGCAGTCAATAAAGGCAATTTCCGACAGTTTTTGCTGTCGATGATACCTTTGTTTTTAGTAGTGTAGTGAAATGTAGCAAAAATCTCAATGCAACTTTTCTAAATGAGAATTACTCGTTTAACTTCATAATCTTGATAGACTTTCTCTTAACTAATTAAATGGCTTCAGCCCTGAACCTATGTATATCCCTCAAAAGAGGTAAAGAAGATGTATACTGAAAATCATGAAGAATATGAGTACTCTAATGAATTCTCCAAAATATATCATGAAGCTTTCAACATGGCCGTGAGCCTGACAAATTCATCTTCTTTGCAGGAAATGGTTAGGCCTCCCATTGGGTGATCAAACCCAAATTCTTCCTCCGAATGAAGCAACAACACTCGGAATAATGGTTGGTCCAAGTACGATAGCGGGATAACGAACCTTCTCTTGTGGATCTCACCAACGTACACCGCAAGATGACCTTTCGGCACATCCCTTTGATAATTTCTGCTGCAAAGAGAGTTCAATCTACTAAAGCATTTTACATTAGAAACCAACGAAGGCAATCGAACAAGACCCATGTGTTGGAGAGTGAGGAAAATGATATGTATAAGTTATTGGAGGAATATGTAGTTTCCTTAAACTGGATAGGAACGAAGAGTTGTACTTTGAAGAGGGTTTGAGGGGTGTATTTATGGCTTGTTTGGAGTTGTGGAGCCTCAAATGACTTTTGCCCATCACCTTCTTTTCCAAGAACGTACCTCCAAGAATATTTAAATCAAAATAACTTGAAAGTTAACATCCAGTACGGAAGCAATTATTTGGCCAATTATAGCCACGGTATCTATACAGCTGCATATGAAATACGCCAAAACAATCAATTAGGTTAACGAATTTTGTGCCTTGTTTGTTATTTTCAAATGTCTAATGGCTAATGACTAAATGCCTAAAATACCAGTGATCAGAAAATACTGAAACAATATATATGTAATGATTATCGATCTGTGAAAAGGTGATTAAGCTTACTTTGACACCTTAATCAAATGGGAATATTATATAGTTTCAAGACTATTTAAAAGAAAAATGATGGTAGTTCATGTCTGAATGATACAGTATATAATATGGAAATGAAATTATTTTGGTGACTGCTAAATTGCAGCAGTCAGCATTCAGAAGCTCACATGCAAGGATAAGCGTATCTTCATCCAAGATATAGTGCCAGGCTCGATATTTGAGGAGCATTCATTACGTTTTTCAATGAAAGACTTGACTTGGTTTTCATGAGGATCCTAGAAAATTGAACTGTTCTTTTTCACATTAATGATTAGTATAAGCAAGGAATTAGAAAATGTTAAGCAAATCACATCTGCAATTCGTCAAATTAACGTGAACCAAAGATGATCAAACTACTCTACTTAGAGTAGAAGTTAAATCCTTTACTTAATAACGACGAAAGTAGATATTAATAAGAAAACGTTGCGATGAAAATTTTCTTGCGACACGTAATCTAATTGATTGCACCGATATTGCATAAATGATTTCACAAACTTAAAACTACATCTAATTCAAGTGTCTTATTAATTTAAGCACCTCTGTTGTTGACTTGTGAGTTTTTTGTTTTGCTGGTAGTCATGGCCTTGTCTAACCTGATGATGGGGTGAGAGAATAACCCCATTTTTCGTGATTATAATGTGATCGGAGAGAAAAAATATAAGACGAATCGAACTTCTAATTAGGTCACCTAAATTCTGGAATCGTCTATTCTATAGCGTAAGATCCATCCTTGATGAACGTAGAGATACAAGCAAACTCTCTCTTGGCTAAATTCATATCAACCTCACATCACCAGACACAGAGAAATGTTGATCATTTACAGCCTTCAGAATCATCAAAACCCTTCACAGTAATTTAATCAATCCATCTTTGATCGAAGTTATCAAACATCACACGCAACATTCACACAGAAACGAAGTCGTATTTGTTTATAACTCAGGTATTTTCCTGCACAGTTTTGGCAGAACATTTTAGTTTCTGTGTAAAGGCCTTATTTACCTATGTATAGAATCAAAATCCATCCCTTACATTCTTCACATAGCTCATCATGATAATGTATATATTGGTTCCAGATATGAAATATGTTATGTAAAATTGCAGGACGTAAGAGATTAACCAAGTGCATAGGATTCAAGAAATGGAACTATATTCTTTCTACAATTTATAATATCATAAACGCATACACGATTGTTCCAAATGGCAAAACCCCATACCACAAAAAAAATGCGTTGGCAGGGGATTTTTACATGGTTTAGAAGCTATTTCTCCTCTAAGATGGTGTCAAAAAAATTACTTCCATCAGTTTTTCCCAAAACTTTTTCATCCTAGGGTGTTTGTATCATGAAATAGGCAATCTAGAGATTAGATCAGTGAAGGCATCTTCACGGCAACGAATGGTTAGACCTCCCATGGGATGGTCAAATCCAAACTCCTCTTCGGACTGGCGCAGCAAATCTTGAAATAGAGGATGTTCCAGAAAAGATAATGGAACCACAAACCGAGTCTTCTGAATTTCTCCAACATAGACAGCCAAATAGCCTTTGGGTACATCCAACTTGTTTCGGTTGCAAAGTGAATGCAATTTGCTGAAATGCTTTTTTTTGGCAGTCAAAGAAGGAAATCGAATGATGCCCATTTGTTGAGAGAAAAATTTGAAGAGAACGATACCCGTACGTGGCGTAAACACACAAACGGAAATAGTTTTGAATTATTTTTCTTGATCCAAACAATGGGTTTAGAAGTTGTGTCTTAACAATCAGATGGTTCTATTTATAGTGTTTTGGCATTGGATGCCGAATTAACGCTGGAAATATATAAACAACTTGGTTTGAGTTTGTTGTGGGCCTTCATGTGAAAACCTAACATGGCTTTGCTCATTTTAAAATGCCACCTCCTTTATGTTGATGTACGGTGCACGTCGTCAAAAGTTTTGATTAGTTTGACTTGGTTATTGTATAACTAGATACGAAAACTATATTAAATTCTATTTCTCTTCTTTAATTTGTTATGGGCAATTTGAGTTTCAAAGCTTAAGACAAAGTACGTTTAAAGCGCCTCATATGTACTCCTGCGATTATGTTTCTCGATGCCTCAATGCTCTCGAGCAAAGCTCAATAGCTTATCGATCATTTAGATGTTCTTAAGATGACCCTTCTTCGACTTACGTGTTTGTTTGTCTTAATGGACTCGATAATTTCTAGATAAAATCTTAATATACAATCAATTAACGTTATCATTGGTTCTTTTTTCGTTAAATCTACACTTCTAGAAAGCACTACCTTACGTTAACACTTGTAATCTGAATCTCTTCCCTCGCGATGGACTCAATAATGTCATGATAGTTTCTTGAAGACATTAATTTAGGCACTTGTCCCAATGACACCTACTCTCATTGATGATAACAATATTAATGTTAAAACTTGTCACCTGTCATAAACCATTTTATTTATGCGGTTCGAATGAAGACATGGTATTTGTTAATATCTAGTAAAATCTGATTTACGAAAAGACATGTGTTAGAGAAAAATGGGGTCTTCCCTAATTTGTACATTCCACTTATGCAAAACATGAGTAGTAGCCATTACTCTTATGCAAAAATTGTGCACTAGTAATTCCTCTCACAAGGAAAGATATGGCGAGTCACAAGGCTCGGCATCATTGACACGGGCATAGTGATCCCTCTTAAGTAGGTGGCAGTAGTATCCATGTATTGAATCTTCATATTTCCGTATAAGATCAATTAGAAGGTATTGTGCAGTAGGGAATCATGAAGATCCTTGTGTATGCAACCAAAAAGCCTTTCGCCTAGTGGTATGCGAGTCATTGGCCTTTCAGGAAGTCAAAGGTTCAAACCTCACCAAAGATGAGAATGGTGTATGAATTTATTTGTTCTATTTGCCGTATATAAATATTATATACTTAAAAAAAAAGATCCTTGTGTATGCATATATATATACTAGTGGTGTACCCGCGCGATGCAGCGCGGGTAAATCACAATTCAAAAACATTAGTTTGGCTTTGAATCATGAGTTTGTGTGGTTATTTTACAAGTCAACTAATATATAAAAATGAAGGTCAATTTTGTTTGTTAGCAAGATCGAATGAAAAGAAAATTGCACATATGTCGGGTTTCTGAAATCATCTACTAATAGTTCATTACAAAACTTGAAATTCTTGAATGAACAAAGAAATACAATCGTTCGTAAAATAATGTTCATCCGTATATTCGAACTGTTATTTGCTTTTCGTGATGCACTATCCGTAAATATTTCCTGCAAAAAACGGCGCAATGGTTTTAATAGAAACATATGATACAAAATGTGTAATAATATAATTGTTGATTATACCTTATTCATCACGTAAAACTTCTGGATAAACGACGTTTGAGGTGTAGACTCCGGCACGATTGAATTTTTTAACAGGCTTCACTAACACCTTCGTATTTGACTAACTTGCTTACCATGGGTTTAGATAAAGGAAGTATTTGGTTGGCGACATTGATGTTATGTTAGGAATGAACTTCTCATCTATTTCTCGAGTATCTCCTTAGTTTCTAGTTGCTGGAAGGATTGGTGCTCTTTCATTTCCATTTTGCTCTTTTTTATTTTTCCATATAACTATTCATTTTTCACTTTCCACTTTCATAGAAGCTTTTTAGCTCCCACAAAATAGAAATTGTTTCTAGAAGAGCACATTTCAGGAAAACCATTGAAAACAGATAGTTTGCATAGTTCTAGTAGATGTGATGTTTCGTATTCTATTTAAGTATGAATATGATATGCATCAACCAGTGGATACTGATTAATGATGGATTTGGTTGGAGAGTTTTGCTCTCAGGGTTGATTCATTGCTTCACTCACCATCCTGTATCTGTGACCTTTAATTTTAGCTAGTTACCATAAACTGCTTCATGAAAAAAGATCATGCTCATTTATGTTTCCAATGTGATGCAGTGTTATGGTGCATAGTATGGCTCTGTCCCTGGTTTGAAAGTGCTTGTACCTTACTCCTCTGAAGATGCTCGTGGACTTCTAAAAGCTGCAATTACAGACCCTGATCCTGTGCATACAACAACAGTAATACACATTAAATCTGCTGTTAGCATACAGTCAAGTGCAATTTTCAGCATGATCAACATTAAATCTGCTGTTAGTAACAGTCAGCATGATCAACATTATGTTGAAACACAACAGCAGGACAAACACACACACACACACAAAAACATAATGTAGTACCAAACAGCAATATATAAGATGCATTTAGTAAAGACTTATCTAATCTATATGACAACAGGAAATAAAAAGTTTAAGATGATTACAGGTCTGTTGGGCAGATGCAAGAGAGGGCTGTTTGGTTTTTATTTTCTACACAAGATGATGCAGTCCCAAATATGAGGATCATTTTTCTAGTTATGTTGCTTAATCTTAGTAGTGTTCTTTCTAAAAGAGACTCTGCTCAAATGATCATTGGTTCAGTTGTGGTTTTAGACAGCAGATTCATTTTTTCAGTATCATAGTTTTAATATTATATGTAACAGGGCTATTCAATCTTGGACTTAGCTATTTGACTTAGATGGACTTATATGTAACAGTTGAACCAATGGATTCAAGGATATGGGCTTGTTCATGCAGTATAATACTTGCATCAAATGATTTATAACAATTGCTAATCACATACAACATGGAAAATGGAAGTCCATAAGTCCAAGTTGTATGCATTACAACAAGTGGTTTAGACATCTGTCTTCAGGTCAAAAAATCATTTTGCAAAATGGAAGTCCATAAGTCCATGTTGTATGCATTATAGGTGTGCTCTACACATATATACAAACACATACATATTAATAGGTTGTGCAAATATGGAAGTCCTAAGTCCATTAATAGGTTGTGCTAATATGACAAGGATGTGCGAATAAGTCCATAGAGGGGTGTATGAGGTGCTCATAGGGCTGTTTACTACTGTTGGTTCATTTGCAAAGAGTCCATCATTTGAAACATTAAATCACTGTGTGTGTGTGTGTGTGTTTGTGTTTTGTTTTTCTCACATTTTGATTTGCAGTAGGCAAAAGATGAAACCCCTAGAACTTGTGTCCATCACGGGAAAATTTCTTACTCACAGAAACGGTCATGGAACAAGTGTTCTCTTACCAAAACCACTTTTTCAAGCTCCGTTCAATCTTCTTGTCATAGTGGCTAGCAAGACAAAGACGACAGAGCCTTTATAATGGCGACATCAATGTTATAGAAAATTGCAATTTGTACGACGTTTGAGGCCATCCTCAAGTTCTATTCTCTGTCCTAAAATCTTACACTGAGGACAGGATTCTATGCTGTCATTGGTCCATAATCAGCAGTCAAGTTAAATTCCTACAGGTGATATATCGTTCATTTGTCGAAAGGTCCTTCTGTTTCGTCATTGTGATGCACAATTTAAACATTGCATCAGCAGCCAGGAAATGTTAACAGGTTATATGTTAATATAAATATTAACATGCTATAGACTGTTACAGACCATGGGAATATGTTAATGTAAATATTAACATGTTCTGTTCCTGTCTGTTTGCAGCTTAATGAGCTTAATAGAA